CGGAATAGGCATCGAGAAAAGTAAGGATCTCGTGGCCGGCTGTGGCATCGATCATGCGATCGATATTAGGCAGTGAAAAAGATTCTTTGGGGCACGCCTTGTTTAAATCCTTATAATCTACACACATTCTGAGTTTGTTCCCTTTTTTAGGGACTACAACTACATTGGCTAACCATTCGGGATATTTCACCTCCCGAATGGACCCTATTTTGAAAAGTTTAGTTACCTCGTCCTTTATGAATGCGTGCTTTATCTCGGACTGGGGTCTTCTCTTTTTCTTCACCGGTTTGAACCTATGGTCCAGGCTTAACCGATGCGTCGTTATCTCCGGTGGGATCCTTGTCATATCTAAATGGGACCAAGCAAAACAATCCATGTTATCAATAAGAAATTGAATAAGCTTTTTCCTGAGTTCGGGGATTAATCCCATTCCCACTCTTCGACCGTTGATTTGGTGGCATCAGAATCTTCGGGAACAAAAAAAGTTCGAGGGGCAAGAAAATCCTCCTCTTCTTCTTTTATCTTCTTCTTCCCCGATTCGGTCGAGGCTGGTGGCTGTGATTGCTATTTGACTTCCTATTTACCTTTGATGCTCGACCTTTCCGAGGTTGATAGTGTCGATATCGGTGTTACCTCATCGACCACAAATATTTCCTTTACAGCATGCTGCTCCCCAAATATTGTTCTTACACCGCCCGATGTCGGGAATTTCATCATTTGGTGGAGAGTCGAAAGAACTGCCTCATATTGTGGATCCAAGACCTTCCGAGCAGGGCATTGTACCTCATGTCGCCCTCGATTATGTGGAACTTGGTATCTTTAATGGTTCCAGCCATGTTCACCGGTAGAATAATCTCCCCTTTAGTTGTTTCACTGGCCATATTGAAGCCGTTTAAGACTCGAGCTTCGGGCATGATTTGATTTTGTAGGCCGAGCTGCTCCACCACCCTCGATCGGATGATATTCGCCGAGCTACCTGGATCCACTAAAACATGCTTAACTTGAACTTTATTTAATAAGATAGAAATTACCAGAGCGTCATTGTAGGGCTTATAAATGCCTTCTGCTTCTTCGTTGTTGAATGATAAAGTGCATTCGGGCACATAATCTTGGGTTCGTTTTTCCCTAGTGATTGATACCTTAGTGCGTTTGAATATGGGTCCTTGTGGAATGTCGACCCCACCGACGATCATATGAATGACATGTTGGGGTTCCTCTAATTCATTTTTCCTGTTAGCGTCCCGTTATCTGAAATGCTTCTTGGCTCGATCGCTGAGGAACTCTCGAAGGTGGCCCTCATTGAATAGACGGGATACCTCCTCCCTTAATTGCCTGCAATCCTCTATCTTGTGACCATGCGTGCCATGATACTTACACATCAAATTTGGGTTTCTTTAGGAAGGATCGGTTTGTATGGGTTTGGTCCACCTAGTATCTCTGATCCTTCCGATTGCCGATATAATTCCCGATACATCGATGCTAAAGTTATATTCTGAAAACCGAGGTGCCTCTGTAGGATTGGCATACTTGTCAAAACCACTTTTGCTCATAAGTCCCCGAGAATTCTGTCCTCGATCACTTCTTCGATCGTTCCGGGCGGAATTCCGTCCTGAACTATTGTTCCTTCGATCTGCGGTATATGGTTGATATCGGTCCCCGTTCGACTTTGGATCCCTGTCGACGTCCCTCTGGTTTTTAACTATCGACCTATTTGGATATACTAAACCAGAAGGGGCTCCTAATTGGTCATCCTCGACCCTGATCTTCGACTGATATCGATTGTGCACATCTGCCCAAGTTACAGCTGGATACTCTATCAAAAAAATTTTCAACTGACGTGATATTATCGAACTCCGCTCGTTCAACCCTTGGGTGAAAGCTTGAACGGCCCAATCATCTGTGACCGGTGGAAACTCCATGCGTTCCATTTGAAATCGGGACACGACTCCCTCGACATTTCATTATCCTTTTGTCTTACCTTGAAAAGGTCTGATTTCCTCGTTGCGACCTTTATGGCCCCGGCATGTGCCTTTACAAAAGAATCTGCTAACATGGCAAATTAGTCGATGGAATTTGGTGGCAGATTGTGATACCAAATCATTGCTCCCTTCGAAAGGGTCTCTCCGAATTTTTTCAACAGCACAGATTTGATTTCATCATCCTCTAAATCGTTACCCTTGATGGCGCATGTATATGAAGTAACATGCTCGTTAGGATCGGTGGTCCCATTGTATTTGGGTATGTCTGGCATACGAAACTTCTTTAGAATAGTCTTCGGAGCCACACTTGGAGGAAATGACTTTTGTACAAACTTCTTCGAATCCATCCCTCTCAAGATTGGCAGTGCCCCCAGTATCTGATCAACTCGAGAGTTGTATGTCTCCATTTTGTTATCGTTGGCTTTGATTCTCTTCTTCCCTGATTCAATTCTTATGGTGAGCTCCTCGAGCATTTTCATTACTACAGGATTAGTCCCCGATTCGTTACCATTCGACCTTTCTTGTAATGGCTCGGTACGGCGAGTAATTTCTGGCTTGACTTTATTTGGAGCTCTATATTGATTTTGTAACTGAGCAATAGCGGCATGCTGAGCCTGAAGCATCTCGAATATCACTTGGAGACTGACTCTTTTGTTTCCTCTGCCTTGTGTTCCTTGGCCACTAGATCGGCCTTCTCTGCGTACACTCCCATCGAGATCTGCGCCTAGGTCCGCGTTTAGAGAAACGTGCGAACTGACATCGACTGGGTTGATAACCGATGTTGCCCCGAGATTAGCATGTGGCACCTCAACTCCTGGAGCGATCACATTTTCATTTTCATCGTGGAATCCGAGGCCATTGTCATTGTGTGTGGATGCGTTTTGTGAGTTTGACATGTTTTAACCTGAAAGCAAAGATACTCGACAAGAACAAACGTAAAATAGTGTATTTTACCAGAATCAGTACTGAACAATCACTATTATCCTTAGCCCCACGGTGGGCGCCAAACTGTTTACCCAGTAAATCGAGTAACAATTAAACTTATATTGTGGTTTTAAGGATATATGATTTAAACCAGTATCAATTGATAAATAACGAATTAAATAGATAAATTGGACAAAAGTAAATCTAACCAGTCTGCAAATAATGCCTCGACCTGCCAGTCTGCAAACAATGCCTCGACCTCGATTCGAGATAGTCTCGAGGTTTAGTTAATAAGAACAGCAGAGGATGGAACAAGCAGTGATGAACAATAAGTAAGATAAAGAAAGCAGCGTATATGTATATTCTTATCAGTGAATCATGATCCCTACAAATGATTGGAACTCCTCTTTATATAGTAGAGAAAACCTAATTATGGTATGTCTCTAATTACAGAAGGAAATCGTATAAACAACTAGTTAACCGCTTCTGATTTGGTCTGTTCCGAGATTCATGCCATGATCCTCGACCAGTCACAAATATCCGTTCCGAGATTCACGTCGTGATCTTTGACCGGTTACTGATATCTCGCCATTTCGTTATTATGCTGCCCTCGAAGTCGGTCATACTTGGCCTCGATTGTTGCTGACCTCGGTCTCAACGTACACTTCGATCTCTAGGCTTGATGTCTCATCTTCTAGCTCGGGTCTGATTTATTACGAGGCTACCCCTGATGCAACTCCCTTCTCGATCAAACAGCAAAATCGGGTATTTTGACCGTATACAGTATTATAGTAAAAACTGTATGGAAAAGTAAAACATAGTGCAAAAATCTTCTATATCTACATGTTGAACGATATAGAAGATTTTCTAGATCTCAAAACTTCCATTCATTTAGAAGTGAAGGGTGTTCATAAAAAAGTTATACTAGATATATAAACAATTATACTGCATATATAGATTAAAATTAGTTTTTATATATATGTATATTAAATTTTGAACATCTTTAATAAAGTTCCCTGATTTTACCACACCAATGCAAGAGTGATGTCTGCTCCACATTGTTTATGGTGGGAGCTAGGTTCTCAGACTCGCATACAATGATGATATTGCCCACTTCTCTTTTTTTGTCACAAAATAATTTTTTGCAACAACTAGGAACAATATCATTTTACGGTGCAAGAGGGAGTTCTTGGTTAGAAAATCTCTTCAAAGAGGATAATAGAAGGGGGGGAGGTGGTTGCAAATTTACCTACCTAAACTAGTCAAGGCAGTCCGTGATAGTATTAGGCATGTAGGTGGTTTATTGAAGTTCATTAAGAACTTCTCTAATTATTTTCTTTTATAAAGATATGTTAAGTTTGAAATTACTGATGAGTATCCGTACTTCTCAAACTTTCAAAATATCACTACTCACTAGCTATAGTACTAGCTGACTGTTAAACCAAGGTTTGGGTCACTAAAGGCTAAAGCCTAGCTTTAACATCGTTTCATTTTGTGAAATACATTTTGCTACACGGAAATTGGATGCACTTGATATGTAGTGCCCAAAGCGCAGCTCGAGTTCACCAATGAGAAGGCATTGGATAAATATGCCACATATAAATTAAAGAAAAAAATGAAGAATACGGTAAAACTTTATCTATTGGATGTTTATATCAAATTAATAAATATATAATATTTATTTTTATATAAACTTCTATTACCTAACTATAATTAATTAATATATATTTTTACCTCAGTACTTAACCATTATCAGTAATGAGTTAAGCAACTACTTGCCTAGATTAATTTTTTCCTTTATAATTTGACTAAATCTGTTTAATTAAAGCGATAAATAAAAAGTAATAATTCTTTCCATACATGCTCCTTATTACAAACTCCAATAATTTGTAACTCCTACACGTTAGACATGAAACATCAACATCAATATTTGCACCCATCCCAATGAGATTACACTATTGCAAACTCCAACCATCATACCTTTTCGGAAGACTCAAAATGCTCAGACCCCAAGAATCAAAATCCTCCAATCCCTCCTCCTCTATATAAACCCCCAAAACCCCTTCACCCTTTCATCAACTCGTGATAACACCACTCTCAAAATTAAAGGTTCAGAAGACAAACCAAATTTCTTTTGTTTTTTCAAGAAAAACACCATGAAGAACCTTTTGTGCTCAGTTGCTGTCTGCCTTTCTGTCCTCTTTGTTCTTGCTCAGACCAATGAAGCAGCAATTCCCTGTGGCACTGTGGACATGAAGGCTGCCGCCTGCATCTCCTTTGCCACAGGGAAGGATGCAATTCCGTCGGCGCCGTGTTGCAATGGGCTGCAAAAGTTGGCACAAAGTGTGAAGTCTGTGGATGATAAGAAGGCTATCTGCAGATGCCTTAAGGCTGGTGTCATGAACTTTGCTGGGGTACAAGACAAGTTCCTTAGCCAACTCCCTACTGCTTGTAAAATCAAAGTTGGCTTCCCTGTCTCCATGATCACCAACTGTGAAACGTGAGTATAAGTTATATGCATTGACCGTCTCGAGTATTTTGTACATATGGAATAACTTTTTATTTATACATTCAAATATGTGATTCTATTTTATTGTTTTGCTTACGTAGTAATATTTATGTTGCAGGATTCGCTTCTAAGCCAAGCATGCCATGCATGAAGAACTTGTGGGAAAGGTAGAAGGTAGTTAGTGTGTTGATGAATAAAACATGAGGCGATGGAGGTGTTATAGCTAGAAGTAGGAGATCATGGGCTCTGTACCTCAACTTTGTAACACTCTTATTTTTGACTTCCAATGCATAATTTCAGTTCTTTAGCTCCAAAGTACTGTAATTCTCTTTGTTTTCTTTACATCTTCAGTTTTCAAGTTTTATCATGTGCTTTAAGAAAAGAGGCGATTTGATTGAACTACTAAAAATCAATCCATCTAATAATACTAATAATAATAATAAAACAACGTGCTATCATTGGCGTACAGAACTGATAACAAATAAAATAATTGGTATAATATCGTTTATTTTCCATAAAATTTGTTGCAACGTGCTTTGGTCCACTAGTTAAATGAAATTTTCGGGAGTTCGATCCTGTGAAGCTGCAGGGAAGACGGATACACTTAACACTATTACGAAGAGGTGGATCTATGATATAAATTTTACGGGTTTAACTTTTAGTTCTTACTACCAATTACTACATTTTTGGAATTATAAGTTCAAAATAATTTTTTTTTAATAGTAATTTCTTTACATCTATTTGTATACTCCATATAAAAAATATTTGAATCAATTAAACCCAATGACTATATGTTATATCGTTCACTGCTACTAGTTTTGATATACATATTTCATTTAATCATATAAGATTTACGATGATAAAAAAAAGAATAGGAATTTCAATATATGAAAATTTTGAGAGAATAAACCAAAGAAAAAAAGAAAAAGAAAAAATACTTAATTAATATATATGTAAATATTGTCACCAAACATGCACATCTCCTATGGGCACTTAGTTCTAGAAAAAAAAGGAAAAAACATCTAATTTGACATAAGATTTAAACTTTTAACCTCACTTGAAAGGTGCACTCAATAACTATCACATCATATGATTTTTTGAGCTTGGATGCACATATATATATTTAAGTATTTTTTAAAAAAAATATAACACTACTATATATGATCTAGGGAATGGAGCATGGGTTTACATGCCCCATGGAACCCCCAAAAAAATAAAAAAAAATAGATACACACCTGATTATTCCAAACACAAGAGGCTCCGAAATTTGACTAAAAATTTGATCTAGAGGAGAATCCAAAACTAGACCTCTAAACAGGCAGTCATGCACCTAACCAGCAGATTAAGAAAAGTCTTATGTCAAGTGGTGTCATTTTGAGGTAAAATTCAGGCCCATGATCTTTGCAATCGCGAACATAGCCTCACAATGTCAAAAATTGATTCAGTCAATTCACATCACGATCGCACCAAGGCCACAACATTCACAATAACACTGGGTCAATGGTGTTTGTGACCCTCACCTAGCTTTTGTGATGCTAGGCCTGATCAGCCTTCCTCGCGATCGCGACACCTCAATCGTGCCCTCCCCGACTTGCACTAAAAATTCTAAAATTGTGCACCACCATTATTTTCCAAACTAAAAATGATCTAAGCATGAGCTTCCTCGGAACTCAACCATATCATCAAGTTATAAATCCTAATACCAGCCTATAGGCGCGTTAAAGGCGAGGCAAAAGATTATAAAAAAGACAGGTTGAATTGTTACGTCATCATATTATTAGTATAAATATCAGAATAAATCGTAAAGTAAAAAATTAAAATTAAAATATTTTCATATAGGAGAAGTATCGGGACAAATTTTAAAGTAAAAAAGTAGAATTTATAATATTTACCATAAAAAATTGTAATCTAACAAAATCATATTATAAGAAGGACCAATCACCGTTTATAAGAAAAATTGAGCTACGTATCGTGTAAAAAAAATATATATATACACTATTGGCAAAAATTAATAAGCTATAATAGATTATTATATCTTTCATGCCATCACATCACATTTACTATGAGAAGTTACTAATATAAGCATTTTCTTTTGGCTCACTATGCACCGGAACGGAGCTCTAATAGTGGGTGCGGGTTTGGGCCAACTCAGTAACTTTTTTCGAAATCCTGTATTTATATTGAAAAATTTATTACATCTATATAAATATAGCATGCCAAACCCAGTAATAAAAGGGGGTCTGGGTTCAATGTTAAGAGTTGTGGGTTCGTTGGAAAAAGATGCGGGTTCGATTCCGCTGAAAGTAATGTTTAATTTTGTTGCTTTTTACATTTTGTTTTTACAAATCACAAATTAAACGACTACGTTTTCTTCGAATAAACGTAAGAACATTTTTCCTCTGACTTTCCTCTGAATAGAGACTAAACTAACATTTTTTCTTTTAGTAAATAAAACATAAAAACGTTTTCTTTCTAATAAACAAAAGAATAGAAGCTTTTCAACTCCAAACGACAAATCTCAATTCCCAAATCAAAAAAAGCTAGGGTTCTGTTCTGCCTCTGTTGATCGACAATCGCTGTTATCATAATCTGTTGGACGTCCTCCAACTCTCCGTTGTGTATGTTCTTTCTCCCTTAGAAGTTAGACCTTTCTTCCTTCTTCAATTCTTCTTTTCTGATTTTTTACTTCATATTTTTCTCTTATATTTTATATTTGATAATTTATACAAAATCTAATTTTTAATCTTTGATTCTAGGGTTGTCCCACACTTTGACCTCTATTCTCTTTGTCAATTTGTGCTTTTGTACTTTTCAAAAGTTCAAACTTAGAATCCCGGACAAACTGACGGACAAGGTATGTAGTCCATTGGTCCTACTTTCTTGTTTTTAGTTTCTTAGTGAGAACAACTTACATTCACATGGGTACTACTCAGAGATAAAATTATCATTATATTTTATATAATAAATGTGAAAAGCAAGATTATTAGTTGTAATAATAATTAGTCACTATTCGAATCATTAGCCTTAAACCCCTTACTTCTTTCGTATAATATAATACTTTCATATGTGGTGGCCTTATTAAGTGGGTCTCTTTGTGAGTCTAATAAATTGAATTGATTTTACTATATATACTAGCTAGCTAGACTAAGTTTTTAAGTTTTTGGGAATAAAGCATATTATAGTTTACAAATTGAACTATGTCAAAGAAGATAAAGAATAGGTTGTTATAGCATTTTGAAACATACAACTTGAAGTGAATTTGTGTTTTGTGATTTTTAGGTTCTTCCGGCAAAAGTCGATATGATCACGAGTTTTTACAAAGCTCAAACTTCTGCAGCTTCTTCTAGTTCTCCTTTGCCAAGTTTTCCATGCCCAGTTATTAATAACAATATTAATCCTTCTCAAGTATCGGATAAAGTGTGGGATTATGAGCCCGATCCCGCTGAAAGAAAATCAATTTCAGAATATCCTCCTAATTTACGTGACCGCGTAAGGAGAAATTATATACAAAATGGACCTTGTCAACCTCGTGGTTTTGTCTTTCCAAAAAAAGATTTTGAAGGAATAATGCATCACTTTAATCCTGAATGATTTAAAACTTCATGTTCTCAATGGTTAGAATATAGCATTAAATAAGATGCAATATTTTGTTTATGTTGTTACTTGTTTAAAAATGAGGTTGGAGGATATGAAAAAAAAAAGTAGGTGATGCTTTCACAACAGATGGTTTTAGAGGTTGGAATAAAGGTTTAAAAAGGCTTAAATCATATGTGGGTGATGTGAATAGTGTTCATAATCGATGTTTCAAGATGATTCTAGATTTAATGAACCAAATACAATGCATTCTAACTTCTTTGGACAAGCAATCTGAGAAAATTAAAAGTGAGCATCGAGCTCGCTTGAATGCTTCAATTGATATGATAAGATCTCTTAAAATGGTATGCAGATAGGAAGAAAGATGTGAAAAATGTGATATTAGAAAAAGCTCCAAAAAATAACACCATGACTTCTTCTAATATTCAAAAAGATATTGTGAATTCTTGTGCAAAAGAAATGGTGAAAGTAATTATTGAAGACTTGAAAGGGGATTTTTTTGAGATATTAGTTGAGGCGAATGACTCGATCCCCTAGGAATAGTGATACTTAGTATTGCTGAGATGAACAACCCGATTCCATAAGAATAGTGTTACCATACTGCCGAGGCGAATGACCCGATCCCATAAGAGTAATTTAAAATACTGTCGAGGCGAATGGCTCAATCCTATAAGAGTAGAGAAATTTACCTCACTCGCGGAAGTGCATGCGATTCGAGAAGGCACGGATTCATAGTTCATCAAATATTTCCTAATTTTCCAAATTAAGAGGCTAAATCAGTATCTTTATTCTAATCCTCAATCTCAGTTATAATCAAGAAAATTAATACACAGGATAAATACAAATAGCACAACTAAGGCATGATGTGAATCTAAGTCTATCCGGACATAACCTGAATATAGCTATGTATGGACTCTCGTCACCTCGTGCGTATATAGCTCCCCACAACAAGTAGCACACAATAATTAATACATCTAAGGGGATAAATTTTCTCTTACAAGGTTAGGCAAGAGATTTACCTCGCTTCCAAGTCCTCAATCCGGCTCTTTAACCTCACTAGAACTCCTCAAACGACGCCGAACAACCCAAAACTAACCAAAAGTTGTATAAACTAGTCAATATATACTCAAAAGTTTATAATTTAACTATTAAACTAATTTCCCAACCAAATTCGAAAAGTCCATAAAAAGCACCCCGGGCCCACGTACCTAAATTCTGAAAATTTTTGAAGATAAATGTTATCCATGACCTCACGAACTCAAATATATAAATTTATTCCCAAATCAATGATCAATTTAATGGTCAAATTCCATTTTTACCAAACCCTAGGTTCCAACAAAAATCCCATAAATTTTCCCCTAATTTCATATTAACTCTACCCATAATCCGTGCATTTAACTCAAGAATTAATAGGGATCACTTACCTCGTGATGTTGATGAAAATCCCCGACAAAATTTTCTCACATTCGCCCAAGACCAAGTAAAAAATGAAAGAAAAGAGACTAAGTCCCGTAATAAATTCAAGTCTGTCCAGGTATTCCTTCTTCGCGATCGCAGAAAATGTCTCGCGGTCATGAAGGCCAATTCTTGCCACTGCCAAAAATCCTCTTCGCGTTCGCGA